AATCGGACAATTAGGAGCAAAGATATGGTCTCCGGTTTTTTTTAATGTGTTCTACTCCAAATGTTATATCCTTGGTTTGGTTTTTAAATTTTAAATGTGTTACTGAACTAATGTTTGTTTTTTTTAGCATATAACTAATGATTAAAGAAAAACAGTTTAGCCCAAAAATTGGAATCACCTTTTGTTTTTTTTTCTTTGTAACTCGGAAGGTAATGTTACTTTAGATGTATAATTGTTTGGAGATAATAAACCATTGGAAATAATATGCAGCGTTTTTTTATCTAGCTGACGACTTTATTTCCACGATTTATAAATTATAAAATACAATTTTGTAGTTACCAAGTTATTCTTTCAATTTTGTAAAATGAACTTCCCTCTATCGCGGTTAATTTTTTATTTCCCACAATTGTTCACTTTGTGGGAATTTTACTAAAGTAACTAAATGGTCAAGTATTAGTAACTATTTTTTCTTAGTTTTTATTCACGAAAACGCATTTATAAAATTTTTCTATCTTGCATCCTTCCTGGCAAATGATTATTTTTTTTTATTATTATTTGGAATACTATAATCAAATATACAATTCAAAGAGAAAAATAATGCTGTTTAGATTTAAATGTTAAATGGTTAAAATGTTTAAGCACCGTATTATATCTGAAAATACTTTCAGTTTCACTTTACTGCAAGACTGCAAGAGACTTTCAGGCCAGTCTTGCAGTCTTTGCAAGTCTAGCATAGTCTGCTCTTGTTCTTGGTCTTGCATCGAATAAAGTGGTCTTGGTCTTGTTCTTGCAGAAGTGCAAGACCAATACCAAGACTGCAAGACCAAGACCGATTTTGGGCAACACTAGTAACATATAAATATGTAAATGTTTCCATTGAAGCTGTTCCATATGAAAGATTTCAGTTCACTGTTAATCCCTCTTAATTATCTTTATTTTTTTTTCCAAGGTTAAAGACATCGAGATTCATGTTGGTACTTTTAAATAAAAATTATATACTTCTATTGAAATTTATAAATACATATTTCATAACTACCGATACCTAATGTATGAATGTTATTGTTGGATATTTAAATTCCTACTCATTGAAAAAATTTAATATGTTTGTTTATAAAGTATCCTTTGCTAAAGTTAATAGTTCCACCTCTCCCATCGGAAGGGACTTCATCTAGCCTGTGCAGGAATCTCCAATGAACTACTATAGCGAAATTCTAAAGTATAAGTTTTTCTATATTTTCTTTGTTATCTTGATTATATGATGTATTTTACTTTTGGTCGGTCTCAATGTGAAACCTCGTAAGTGCAAAGTCACAAATTTATAGAATAGTTAAGCAAATTAAAAAAGAAATCATCATCATAAAGAGATGTATTTTTTACAAGTGGTAGGAACAAGCGAGTGATTTAACGTCTAGTAAAAAAAAAATTGAACATTTATTGCTGTGAGAAACATTTCACTCACTAATAAAATAAATCTTAATCGAACCGTTCAGTATTTATACGGTTTTTATTTTACAATATAACGTAAAAGTTTATTAAGACCTCATAAATACATTTATATGTCTTGATTGCAATGCATTTGAATTTTGACATATCAAAATAAAATAAGACAATGTTTTTTATCCGATGGCAATATTTCATACGGCGCTCACTCACCTTAATAGAGACTGTTAAGATAAGAACAAACAAAGCGTAGATAGGAGGACTGGCCAGGGGCCGATCCAGAGAGCATTGTGATTTATGTGGCCGTGGAGGTGGGAAAAAATGGAGCAATTAGAGACGAGGGCAGTTATTGCCCGCCACCGCTCAAATGAACCGAGCAAAGCCACTTAGCCCCACCGCTCTCACACGAAATTTCATTTGTTCTCTCCAGTGCTCTTTATCGGCTAATGCTATTCAGTAAATAATTTATTTAATTTGAATTATTATTTATTTTAATTTTATTTGTTTAACATGATTTTTTTTCCAACTAAATTTCGAGTAAGGGAAAGCGGAATTAAAATTCATCTGGGTGAGTTGTTCGGAGTGAGAGCCCCAAAACGATAAGAAATAAATATAATTCTTATAGCATAACTTAATTCATATACGTCCTGTGATTCTTATAATATCAATTAAATTTAAACTATGTTATATATTTCTAATTAGGTATAAAGACTGATAACATACATCAGCTGTTAATTGCAAAGTGAGATGTATAACCTGAAAGTGCTACTTACAGGTGTGAAGTAATTATCATTTTTTGTTTCTTTATTTAATAATATAACAATCTGTCACACGGACATTCGTTATAGGAAGATAAGATAACTTTCATACAATATGTACAAAAATATATGAAATAAACAGAAGCAAAATAACTAAATAATATTCAAAAATTATATACAATAAATAGAATAAAGTAACATAAAGATAAGTAAATTAAAGAACAAAAAAACACACCCATACTTATATACACTATTTACAATCAGGCGAGAGAACACCGAGGCAGGCTTGTCTCTCCAAATATAAAAGGAAAAGTAGGACTCCAGGAGATCCCTACGCTAATCTCTCAAACGCTTCACTGGCATTAAAGCCAGTAGAGATTGATCGAATGCATTTTAGCCATATGTGATTAATTTTAAATATTAAAACACCAAAGGAAAAATATTTTTTTCATGATTTAGTTAAAATTATCAGACTTATTTGGCTGAATAATCTTAAGATATTGTTGATTAGTCTTTAAATAAATAAGTATATGTTCAAATATTTTTTTTTCATCATCTCGGTTCCCAATTGAACTAGTAACAATGTACCTCAGATTGGGTACTTTGTTTGGGTACCCTAACTTGGGGTTACTTCTTGTTTTCCTGCTTACTTTTACATAAAAACATTAAAGGTACACCCAAAAGTATTTCAGATTTATATAGAAGAATATGTGTAAAAATTATAAGCTAGCATACATTCTTACGTGTATGTACAGCATACATACTTGTTAGTAAGTCATTTCCTAAATAGTATTTGAAGTGGTTTAAAAATCGGAACTTTTATCCTCATTTGTCATTACTAATACAAGGAGAAGTATCTGATTCCTACAAACATTGATCTGGATTGCGACAAAGTAATGGACTCTTGCCAGTATTGTTGAACTTAGCGATGGAGAAGGTAATAAGAACATCACGTGAAAATGGACGGGTATTATGAATGTATCATAAACTCCTTGTATATGCAGATAATATAGTTATTTTTGAAAGCAATAAAGAGAATGTTGAGAAACTAGCTAAGACTCTGAAGAAGCTAATCATCCTACAAATAAATAATAATAAAACAGAATATATGATATAAAGCCGAAAATTCATAATAAAACTTTTCTGGATAAAAAGAATAAAACGCCGAAAAGAAAAATGTAATCCAATTTTTTTTTTAGTATTGTTTATACTTTTCGATTTTAAGAAGAAGAAGATAAATAAAAAAATGTGAGCATTTTATTGGCATATACTAAAAAAGTCTAATTTTACCATCCCTCGTAACTTTTTTTCCAGCTTCTTTTCGTTGAAATATGTTATATAAATAATTTTAAGGGGCATCAAGTCTTCTTTAAAGTATTGTTTACTTTATCAGAGTTTCATTAATATCGGTATATTCGTACAGGCGCTGAAATCTATACGACATCTTCCGACTTAAAAGTGTGTTCTATACATATATTTAACAAGGAACGGGGCGACAACTTAATTTAATTGAAATTGTTACAGTCTACACCAACAATGGTTTTTCAGCCTACATCTTAAAGGAAATGTAAAGATTGGAAGATCATCCTCGGATGACCTCTGACTCTGATTCTAAATTTATAAAAAAAGTTGGTCTAGTAGTCTCTTATTTGATTTTTGAGTTCTACGTATCCTGAAATGTAGAACCTCAAATTTGTAGGGAGAGGGGTTAAGATTTCAAAGAAAAAATAGTTTTACGGCCATAGAAGTCTAAAATGTCAAGACGTATGTGCTTTCTGAATGCAAATCAAAAGTGTTGTCGGTTCGAATCCGGCCTTGGAACATTAAAAGTTTTTTGATGGTTGGTACACGAAATAAATCTTGACTTTCATACCGTGGGTACAATTGATTAGTGGTACAGTAATAACAGTAGATTTGTTAACTACATGACAATTCAACTTTTAAGGCCTACCTAGTTGAAGTACACTTGAACGTGAAGCCCAACTCAAAACATGATTTCTATGCTTAAACAACTAGGTCTAAAACTTGATAACATAAAGAACTTAATCAAAATCAAAGCCGTTCTAGAACATTTTTATAAAAATTTTGTTTTTGGGAGACAATAAATTAATTTAAAATTCTAAGTTTATGACACTTTTCAATAAATGTGTTTTTATTGCTGTATTTTTTTTATTTGTCTTAAAACTTGTCAAAGCAAGTCCTATTTTGTTTTCTGAATTCGTATTCACATTTTTTATGTAATTATACATGTTAGTTTCATATTTTTAGGGAGGATTTATTTAGGAGGGATTATTTTATATTGTGCATTTATTAAATAGAAATATTGGTTCATGTAAATATGTGTAAACATTCCTAATTTTTCTTTTGTAGAATTTTAATGTATACTTTCTTCGATTTTTTTTATTGCACTTTTCAAAAAAAATGACAATGAATAGTTCTTGGCGAAAAATACTATTTTGAAAAAGACAAATTTTTCGTTTAAAACTTTGAAAGTTTTTGTTGCTCTGCTGAGTTTGAAGTTGATCACATCCATGATTTTTCACGGTTACGAATGATTTACACTAAATTAATTAGGAGTTTTTTTAATATCCTTTTTGTAACTGCATAAAACATTACGATTAAATATAAAATAGTCACATACTATATTTTCATTTTATTTCTTACTTACTACATATATTACTGATGTCTGACTATAAATCAGTATCATTCAGCATAACACCTTCCTAAGACAATCCAGATGCAATCGATACCAGCAGATTCTAGCACAGACACCTCGAATAGGGACAGGTGGCTGATGACTCAATGGTGAAGAGCCCTCAAACTCTGGTCCTGATTGCCGAAGCACCCCTCAGAGGATGCCGACCACTTATCTGCATATTCGAACATTTGCCATCATCAGGGCTTTGTGCTGGAGGATCAGGATTCAGGACCGCGTCCGGAGGATTAGCCAATCAACGACCCATATGTGGCTGATACCACCGGATTATCCTGTCGTAATAAAATCATTACTTTCATCAATGTATGCGATTTACACGTGTTTTCCTTATCCAGTAAGTGTAATTTCTATTTAATACATATTAGTTGCATATTTGCATTTCTATTGTTGGTATGAACAAATGTTATAATTGTTAATAATTATTGTTAAAATTGATAATTTTATCCATATCTGTAATTAAAAATAAAATGCTGAAAACATATTGTCATTTTTTTAAACGAATTGATGACCAAGTGGGATACAATGGTACAATTTATTATATTGTTTTTTAGTTAATTCAATTGTTGTATCAAGAAATCTCTTTCTCTATATACATCTATTCAGCGTACATGGTGTAGTGATTGAAAAATGGTTGTTAAACTTCACTTACATTCACCGCTAAACTATGCTAATTTTCCAATAATAATAAATAATGCTTGTTTGTCCATGTCAAAACAAACGAAAAAGTTGCTTAATATTGTGTTCAATGTCCACATACGCAATGTCTTGCATTAATAATGATATGTTTATAGATATCAAAAAGTGGTAGCTGTACAGAAGGCGGAGTAAGGTGACGAATGATGAATTCTATGTTTCTCATTTTCAATAACAGTTAGCAATCAAGTACTAGCAAGTATAAGATTTGCTTAGTGGTGGACTAAGTAACTCACTAGTATAAATAAGTGTGTGTCCATGTTGGGTTATGTTTGACCATAAGTTCATATATAGAACACTTTGAAATAATTTTCGGAACTCAAAACACAAGGAAACCGTAGCCTAAAATAAGTTTTATCAACTTTCTCACTAAAATATTCTTAATATACAACCCCACACTACAAACTCATAGAGAAAATAGGTCATGAGAGGAAAAAATGACGATTTGTGCACCTTATGTTCGGAGGAAAGTGGTGCTGGTGCTGCAAGTGCATCAAGTATAAATAGCAGTTAATTAAGAAGTTTTTTTTTTTAATACTGATAACTCTGGAAAGAAACTACCTTTGTAAAATAAGCATTTAAGGAAAGTAAAAAACTATTGTTAGCACTGCATTATCTGCCTCAGAAATCTGGACCGTTTAAACCGACTGAGGAATAAAACTGTAATCAATGGAAATGTATTATTGGAGATGTAGTTGTGGAATATCCAGATTACAACACGTTCCAAATAGAACCATTAGAGAAACAGTGAAAGAACCATTTATCCTCTTGTACCCCATTGAGACAAAAAAATGAATTGGTTTAGACATGTGAGAATGGAAGACGATCGATGGCCTAAAACGATATTTAAAAATATTATATTGGAAAGGAGGAAAAGAGGTCGACTAGAAAAAAAAAATGTATGGAAGGTATTCCTGAGGCAATGGCTGCAAGAGGACTCTGGGAGGAAGACTGCTATGATAGGAAGAAATGGTATAAGGGCTTGTTAGGCTACGACATATGACTATAAAGGATAGTAATGAAGTCGTTTATACAAATATATACAAAATTCTAGAGATAAAATTTTGTTACATAAATTTTTCTGTAAAGGTATTAACATTTAGTAGTTTCATAAGCATTATAGGAGAACAGAGTAGCTCATTAAGTCAGGCAATATGCCTCGGGTTCGAATCCGGCTAATGTCAAGTAATTCTCCTCCTGAATTGAACCTTCTAAGTAATTAAGAGAGAAAATCTGGGCTGAACATGATCCTGAACCGAACAGTTTGACTTGAAACAGTACTTCCGAACAAAGTACTGAACAAAAACCACTTCATGGGTTGTAGTGGCACAGTTTTTTTTTTTTGTTTTTTTTTATAATCATTTTGATTTAAAAAGAGAACATATAGTGATTGTCAAAGTATTCAGCTTAGATTATCTAGAGAAAGAAATATGGTACAATGAAAAAAATATATTTTTCTATTTTGGCGAGAGGAAAGGGGAGTTCTTTAGTCCAAAAGTGTCCCTCGTAGATCCGCTAGTGACTGTATCATACCATTATTTATAATAAGGGAAATATAAAACGTATATTCCATTTAGCTCAGTGCAATAAAATACGATTTAGAGAATTTTTAGACCAACAATTTCTTTATTTAATGCGTAAAATATCAGTACAGCTGGAAAAAAATATATGCACTAGACTAAACAAAATCTCTTAGTCTAGCCTTATCCTCCACACGTGGGAGGAAGGGTCAGATTCGGAGCTCCATCGGCTGACTGTAAATATTGTAAATAAGTATGAATGTGTTATTTAATGTTATCTTATTTTATTTAATGTTATCTCATGTTTGATTTTTTCTGTTATTATTTTATTCTATTTTGTTATAATCTTGTTTTTCTTATATTGTATATATGGTATGTTTGTGTTTCATACATCCTAAATACTCAATGCCCTTAATTGAGGCAAAATGTATTTTTTTCGCAATAAAATATTATTAGAATTAAAAAAAAGACTAAACTAAACTAATGAACTATGCTTAGCAATATATTTATTTTATTATTTACAATGATAAAATTAAATAAGTTACGATTAATTATACCTAATATTTAAATTCAGTCCATAGAGATATATACATTTCATTCAAAATTCTTTTCTCTTCAGTAAATAGGGTTCCGCGTTGTCGCTCCAAAGGTAGATACAATCTGCCTGATTATGGGTATGTGGACTCGATGGGGTGACGCTGCATGTGTTTTGGCCCTTGGGGCTCGCCTGGCAGACGAACACGGGGCTCAGGCAGCCAGGCCGGGCTGACGAGGAGCACAGCGAAAGTATTATCTTGTTCAGTTCAATATTCAATTCAATCAGAGGAAAATTAGTTTCCGTCCTCTCTCCTGGCAATATATGGCGCCACTTGAAGGATCATCAATAATTTTTAACTTTGAAATTCACAGGTGTACACTGCCTTTAAAAAAAGAAAGAAAGAAAAAACTGTTAAAAAGTAGCAATACACGTATTATCAAAATAATTTTTTGGACATCTAAGAAGGACTGTAACAATAAATTAGCTTGCATTTGTTGAATATAAATGAACTTCTAACAATTACCAGAATGAATCATATGAAGGATAAGCGAAAAAAGAAAAATTATAAATTTAAAGTAGAACTTGATTTAAGTAGAAACATGCAAAATAAAATGAAAAAAACATGTGTATAATTAAGACCACACAATAGAAGTGAAAACATGAACAAGGCGAGATTAATAATACGAAACATAAATTATAAATAATAGCTCATTATAAAGAGGATGAAATGAAGAACATTTCCTTTGCTAAAAATAAGCAGGTTCGATTTTTAGTTTTTATCATATTTTCATCCAAATACAAAAACACTTCAAATAGTCGGCTCCAGCCGACTTTACTCGAGCGTTACACATCTGAATTAGATCTGACAGCTTAATCCAATTCACTGTTCATCAAATTCCGTTCATCCAATTCAGAATAATATTGTAATTCATTAATTCGTCTACGACTTAGACATGAGACGGCAAATATAATAGTGAATTCAGTTGTTTGGTCGTTTTTCTTTTAATAAATAATAATAATAAATACTAACATAAAACTTGAAGTTGCGATTATGTTGTTCAATCAATGTGAATCGTTTAAAAATAACATTTCAGAAATTAGTAAGATAAAAGAATGCCAGTATACAAGACAAAATTGATTATTTAGTACATGGTCACAAAATATAAATGTTCATAATTACCGGATCACCGTTGAGGACGCAGTTGGAGGTAATGACAAGCAAAGGATTGATTCCTTCCGAATTGAGGAACTGTGTCAGATTGAAAGGCAAACCGGAAGCCACTGCAAACAAGGAGAGGAACAGGAGCAGCTTCATTTCTAAATCAGTTTCAGATATTCGAAGACTGAAACAGCGATTCCAGCAGGCACTATACTTATAGTATTATCTAAAATATTTAACCAGGTCAAAGACCTCGAATAGATAAAATTATATGAATTTTTTAAGGCATATGTATAAATACTGCCTACTAACTGTGAAATAAAAAATCCCACTACTGAATATTCAGCATAAACTTAGAAAAGAGAATATTAAAAAAAAAAGGGATCTCGTTTACATTATGCTTCCAATTTTCTTATTTTCTTTTTATATTTTTGTTTTTCGATATAACTTTCATTTATTTTTTCCCATTGTACAACAGCAATAATAACAATAATTTTTTAAAAATTTATTTATTACCTACACATATTGCTGGCTCACAATAAATTTGCCATCTACCTTAGTATTCAGCAAATATGATATTAAGGAGAATAAATGATAGCATACAAATAAAAGAAAAAGAATAGTAATAACAAAACAAAAAGACGAAAAAAAGTAGTAAAATAACACACAAAAAAATATAATACAGCAAGTAGCTCAATGCAATAAGTCTTTTGGCCAGCACCTCAGCAGTCTTCTGGGCGGATTGTATGGATTTGTAACAGTCGATAGAGCTTGAGTAAGTGGATTTGAATTTAGAGTCAGTCTCTCATGAAAATGATTAAAGCGATCAGTGGCAGTTTTCGTGATGAAAGAAGTGTTAAGTAAGTTTTAAAACATAAGAGGGTGCGTCTACAATTTTCCGAAGGACTTTTGACTGGAATGACTTGATGACTTTTATATTTGATGTCTTTGCTGTTCCCTATAGTTCGACTCCATGTGTCCAAAGTGATTTAATGAGGACTTTGTAAATAGTTAATTTATTAGTCATAGAAAATTTAGAACTTCTGTCAAGTAGCCTGGAAAGAAATCCGTATCGCTGATTAAGTTATTTTCTGTTTTGTTTTGTGTGCTATGTCCTCGTCAGTCGTATGTCCAAGTGGAGACCCAAATATCGTACAGTTTTGGAAGGTGGTAGATCGATATTATTAAAGAACACTGGAGGACAAGAGTCATGTCTAATGAAACGAATTGGCTCTTAGACTCCTAATAACAGTATTAACAGGAAAACATTTTTTTTTTTTATGTATTTCAGATCTTTAAGAGCACTAACAAGCGCAAAGTGTAAAATTGTATAAACATATATTAAAGTTTTATAAATATTTAAATAACTTCAATGAAAAATAATTCTAATAAATAATTCTAATAATTCTAATAAATAACTGAAAAATAATTCTCAATATATATATTAATACTTTATACTTATAGATCTGAAAAGTCTTCTTGCATAGAATAATTTTGAAATAGGTTTAATTGTTAAATAAAGCATTGAAATAAAGATAAAAGATTTCTTATTTATTTATTACTTTACCGTCTTGCTTTACATTATCACTTTTAATCATCTCATTAATCATATATATTTTTTTTTCATTTGGTTTATTTAGTTCTACTCATAGTATTTAAAATTAAAGCACTATTAAGTCATACATTTAGACTTAATGTTTGCAAATTTATATATAGTATTTTTCAATACAGTATATCTCTTACTTTAAATTTTTTGTAAATTTAATTGTCTTTATCCAAGCCTAAAATGTTACTACCTCTATACATAGATATTCAATATATTTATTCCTGAAATATCCAGATCTAACATTACAACTTAAATAGTTTTCAAATGGAAGTGATTTATCATTCCCCTTAGATTTACTATATAACACCAAAATATTCTATAAAAAGTTACCATAATAATACCATTGTAATTAATTTCATCGGAACGCCAGAAAAGTGTTGCTTCTCTCAGAATATGTCTGAGCGTTTGTACAGTGTAATATTACATAGATTCGCTAAGTTAATTGTAAAAACTGATTAATAGCAAATCAATTTAATCCAACATGACTTGACTAAGTATTTTCTACGAAAATACCATGTTTTTTATTTTTATTTTTTTCTGATTGATGATATTTACAACTGTATTACAAGTAAAAATACATTCAGTAAATGTGGAAAAAGGAATAAAATAGCATGAAATCACTTATTGAGAAACTGCCCACTGGTAGCACTCTAAAAATGTATTTACAAAAGGAGATCTCGAGGCCATATTCTTTTCAGACGCCTCGGAGGGGCATGTTAATATTAAGATATAGGCACACTATTTTCGACTACCAGAGTGATACATGACTTTGTGGGTACGATCTAAGCATTTTGGCCAACTGCTGATATAGCCGCAATAATATAATTTCACTCGACAACTGCGGACTAACAACCTAACGACATTCCCAAGTTGCCGACCTCTGTCCCTTTGGCCTCTGGACTCTTATCACTCACGCCGTATTACCTAAAGGGTTATCATCTGCTAATTTAACTTGCGCGGTACTAAGTCTCCTCCGGGTACTTCTATACCACTAGGCCAGCGGACCGTGAGAAGAGATAGCTGCCGATGTATCATGCATAATCTCAAGGAGGCAGCTGCTGCCCTTTCGCCATTACCATATCTTGGCAACACCTGCAGGCCTGTCCCGAGAAAACAGGGGGAACTGCCCCTTGGGGACGTGGAAATATGGGGGCAGCTCAGGGGGAAATGAATTGCCGGCAACTTCTCACCTTGGTCTTCCCTGACACTTGACAGAAGAGCAAAAATGAGAACTGCCACTAAACACATTCCCCTTTAGCAAATTCCAGTTTAGAAGATTTAATTCTTAAATAATTATCATTAAACGCTAAAGTTGCTAACTTTGCCTTGGTTTTCAATAATTTAAAAAATAAAATAATATCCTATCGGAATAGTAAATAACAGATATCACATAAAATAAATAAGATATGAGCGGTGTTCCATAAATAATTTGAAATACTGAAAAAGATTATAGTATTGGGCAAATGAAAATCTTCATGGTCTTTATTAAAGAGGTCATCAATATCTATTTAACATATTAGCACATAATTACTACTCAACATCTAAAAAAAAAAAAAAAGATTGTTATTTCTTGAAAGCCTAAACGTTAGAATTTATAGGGTTGAAAAATAAAACAGTTACTCAGTCAGCTAATAATATTAGGACCAATTTCCATAATTAAGATTAGTGTAAAATGAGCTGGTCCACAATCGTTTTGAATATTTATTATTTGAAGAAATAGGTTTATTTATGAAAAAAGTTTGTTATTTTATTGATTCTGTCGTACTCCACGAGATAGAAATAAAAGATTTTTTAGTAATTTATTTAAAATTATTCCTCATTGAAGAGACAGAGTATCACATTACATTTTTTTTTTTTCAACTACAGGCAAATTTGCTTGTTTTGTAATAAATCTCAACTTACATAATAGAATTAAAATTTTATCAAACAATGAAGTGTTCCATTAACTCATGATTTAACAAAAAATATTAGGTAAATTAACAAAGCACTATTTACCCGCTTTTGTTAGCGCTCTTAAAATGGTTTACACACCGACAATCTATTTTATATTAAGTTTTTGCCAAAAATTCGCAATTACTAATTCATGAACTGACCCACATTCTGCCCCTTGATAAGACCTCACATTAATTATACTATTTTGCCATTGTATCAAAACGTGATCGATTTGATTTCGTGTTGGTGAATCCTGCGATGTCCAAGTATATTAATGATTATCCTTATGTTTAAACGGAATATTTTTAATTATTTGGTTTTTCGAAACTTTCTTTACGTAAACTTTCTTTACCGATCATAGCAAAATAAACTTCTACCCTTCCCACGTTTGCATTAGCGTCCCCTAAAATTATTTCCATGCAGCTTTGCGGTAGTTTATCATAAAATTCGCATTTGGATTCGACATAACTGCCTCCAGTCGGACAGTATATGTTTATCTACGCAATTTTAAAAACAACTCCCGAAGAAATTTTT